AAAGCACAGAAAAAAAGACCATAAAAATCAGAAAATAAGTTCACCTCAAAGTTTAGTATAGGCTCCACTTATGTTCTCCAGCATGCTGGAGGCACTAGGGTGACCAGAAATACAGTTAGCTCTGAGATACGAAGCGCCCAGAAGCAGTGAGATCAGAAAATAGGTAGAAACAAGGCAACTTTCCTCACCTGTGTCTCTCCCTGCGTATGCAATGCAGTGCACACGGCAGCATCTCAAGGAGCAGCACCTGCCCCACTCTCAGCACTATGCAAGGGTTCCCCCTGGCAGAAGCCCACCTCTGCACCTGGCAGCTCCCAGACATAAGAGTGAAAGCAACATTTTCTGTTTCCTTTCCTATTTATCCCCCCCTTTTCCTTTTTTTCCCCCTACTTTATTTTTAGTACAGTTGTTTTGCTTTGTTTTGTTTCCCTTTCTTACCATTGGAACTACCCAAATCCCATTGCTTGTTGGAGCTTCTGGTTTACTACTGGTCACTTCATACTATATATCTTAAGGCTTTGCTTTCTCCATCACGCAACTCTTCCAGCAGTGCCCACAGCACAACCTTCCTCTGCCTTTGGAGTTGTTGGTGGCACACACACAGCGCTGAGGAACAAGAGGACTGACATCAGTGACTCCTAGGTTCTGTGGTCTTCCACCTGATCACACAGAGGCTCCCTCCTTTCAATGTGTGGCCATCCAGATCCCATTTCACAACGTACACCATGTCTAGTAACTTCTTAAATGCTTTCTCAGAGCTCTGCCTGGCACAAGTCTCTTGCTGGTGGCAAACACCAGCTCCCATTATCTACTCCAGACTCATCCATACTGGTGTTTTCCCTTTAACTTAGACAGATGCTTGTGCTATAGCTCTGCTGTTCTCTAGTTATGGTCCCTAATTCCGCTGCCACCCCTTCATTTTCTAAGGTTTCAAATACCCAGTGCTGTTATCTGCTGTGGAGAGTAATGAGGTGCTGCTCAGCACTGGTTACACTTGCTTTAATGCTGGAACAGCACGTTTGTGGCTTGGTATCAACTAAACAGTCATTGTTTCCAAGTAGCTGCGAGGGGCTTATTTATTGCTATTGGAACCTCTGAGCTCAGGGTGAGGGCTGTGCTTTTCAAAAGCCAGCTCTGTGCAACACAGCAGCACTTCCCACCCCCAACATCCCACAGAAATTAGGCAAACCGTAAGTGCAGCAGAGCAGCTGCCTGACAGACTGATTAGAAAATGGTGTAAAAACGTGTGGAAAATACTGTATTCAGCTGAAGCTGCGGGGAACAACGGAAGGAAAATAATTAGCCAAGTCATATATTGGCCAAGGCACTGCATCTTCTCAGCCTTCTATTCCCTTCATCGTACAAAGGGATCCTTAAATAACTGGTAGTAAACGAGGCTTTGTTTATATCTCACCTTAAAAAGCTACAAGCAGAGCTGTGCACCCTAATAGCATCGTTGGCTCTGACGTGATTCATAGGCAAGGGGGCCATCTGCTGAATTCCCAGCACTGCTTTCTGCTGTATCCTGCAAGGTTTTACCTGGAAGTTGCACAGCCGTGTCCCCTCCAGCGCCAGCACTGCCAGGCTGTGAGGTGACAGCACGCCTCCGGGCAGGCCTGGCTGCAGGTGAGCACTGCAGCACATCTGCCATGGCTGCAAAACCACAGCCAGCAAGTGAGCACAGCAATCCACATCAGGCTCAAAAATCCCACAGACAATATCCCGGCCTGAAATGCACGCAAGAGCTCTGCATCAAAGTGCATTTCACTAAGTAAAGATTTTCAGAGTGAGAAAACTTCCTACTGCTTGCTCGTAATATGGTCATGAACAGAACTTTTCAGGCAAAAGCTAAATGCTTGAGCATGGAATCAGCTCTCTACAACAAGCATTTCCACCCTACACTTACTGCCCTCAGCAGTGCTGGCACTGCCCAAACCCAGCGCTCTCTTTCCTGACACTCAACTCACTGGAATTTGTTTCTCATTCCATTCTTCCTAAACTCATCACCATTTACTTCAGAACACAACTTCCCAACTAGTTTTTCCTACACAGAGAAATGATCAGAGGAAATGTGGAGTTTTGGAGACTTTATAACAACGTTGCCCCAGGTCAACATGTGCAGATGAAGTAAGTTATCTCTGTAGTCTTCCTATGGCACTGAGGGAGGTGGTTTAGTGCTACTGCAGTGGTGGGTTGACATATGGACTTGGTGATCTTGCCTTTCCCAACCTTTATGATTCTATGCATCTTTGTTTTTGGTACTGCTACAGTGCACAGTCTCTCTATACTAGAAAGATGGATCACATTTGTTTCTGATGCAATAATAGCAAAGAATGCTAAATAAATACTACAGGTGCATCTAGACTGAAAAATCCTTGTTCACATAGCCGTGAAATTTGATAAAGGTATTTAAAATATTCACCACTGTTCTCATTTTGGAAAGCATAGCCTTAAGTCTACTGACATTTCATGGTCTGTTAATACAACACTTTAAATATAGAAAGGTACACATTATACATTAAAAATTTTGTAGACTCATGAATAAGATAGCTATAGTATACAAGTAGAGGATTGTTTAATGGTAGGAAATATAATCTTCAAGGTTACTTCCAAGGCTAGCATATAAAAAATGACTGTGAGACATAACCTGTATCTTCTGAAGTTACAGTCAGGAATTATTAAATGAAATAATTAAACAAAAATCACAAGGTATACAAATAAATGCCACTTGTTTGGGACCTACTTAGACACACAAGTGGTCTGAAGTTTAACTCATAGCTTATTGTTAAAGAAAATACAAAAACTTTGAAGGTACGTTTGTATGGTGCTATTTGCTGGTTTGTTGTTGGGTTTTTTTTTCTTATGGTGAAAACAGTTTTATTACCTCAATTATTACTAAACTCCAATATGGATGACTCCCACCTCCATAATATAAGAATATACCCAGGTGTTGTGTTCACTGTTCCCAGCCCTGAACACATTGAGGAGCAAGACGTATATGGTCTGGAAAGTTGAAAGTTTGTAAGCACACAGAGATAACTCTGGAAAAATCACTGTTTTCATTATGTAAGAGATTATGTAACTTGCCAACAAAGCATTCGTTATTTTTCACCTGAAACCTGGACTCCCCTATGAAAATATGAAAATAGCATACATAAAAGCAGTAGTAAAAGCTAATTACTAAACACTTATAAGTAAGAGCTCCAGATCTACAATTACCCAGAGCCAATAAAACGCCGATGCACCACACACCTGCACTCCCACCACTACCCGGAGCTCAGCCCAGCAACCGAAAAGCCTGACTGGCTGCAAAGGGTGCTCACTAAAACAAAAGACCAACAAAACAAAAAGAGGTATGAAAAAGTGAAAGTTTCCCCTCAGTACTTCAGAATGAAAGCTAAGGAATGCTGAAATTCAGGGTTTCTATATAAATGGTCAAAAATCATGTAAAAACATCCCAAATTCTGGTCATGTTAATCTCAAAACCAAAAGTATTGCTCCTAGCTTCAGGCTCAGGGAAGCTCAAAGGAAAGAATGTTCCTAAGGAAGGAAAGAGACTTGAGCTTTTTTTTCTCCTTTTCCACTAAACTCTCTAATTGACTTCAGACTAAAATACTTCATGAAGAAATAGATCTTGCTCAACATTGAAGTAAATATTGTTCCTTGGTAAGAAAAATCAAAACTATTTCCTGATCTTGTATTTGTATTTAAAAATATGTACATTCCCCCACCAGTTAAAAGAACTGTCTCAAAAATGATTTGTTAACAAAGTCAGATAATTACATTCGTCTCATGAAGCATTTAGGCTGAGGAGAGCTGTGCGCACATTCACTGTGTAGGTAGGAAAAAAGGCAAAGAAGTTGGAAAGTGAAGGATGTGAGACACAACAATACTTGAGGGATAATATCTCCCGACATTTGAACAGGGTTTAAGTTCTACTGCGTACAGCACACAATACTCAGCGCAAAGTATTTACAATCATGCTTCCTCCCGCTTTAGACTATTGAGGTTTTTCACCTCTCGAACTGACGGGAGAAACCTCTCTCCCGCTCTGACTGCGACCCCTCCGCGTTTCGGGGGGTTCCACGCACGGGTTGAGGTGAGGGAGCGGACACATCTCAGCTGGAGCCGTGCGGCGGTACAGCGATGCGGTGCCGAACCGCACAGCGAGAAGCAGCAGGGAGGGAGGAACCCGCGGGCGCTGTGTCAGCGGGCTGCTGTAGGACACGGGGGGATTTCAGACGGAGAAGGAAATAGTGGTCGCTTTGCTTCATCCCATCACCGAAAGTCAAGAAACAGAAAGCACAGGCTTCATCATCACAGGCAGTTTCCTGAAGGCATTTAGGGTGCGAGCGCATTGTGGGGCACTGCCAAAGCCAAAGGACTAAGTAGTGGGATGGGGGCATCCCCGGCACCTTCGGTGAACGAAGCTGTCCGGACCCAGGAGTGCTCCACGAAGACGGAGCACGTTCCATTCCGGCCGGGGAACGCTTGGGATGCTTAGCGCCCGGAGGAGAGGCTGCGACGCATTGCTCTCCCCCCCCGCCCACTCCGGCTCCGAACGCCTATCGCGACCCGCAGGGACATCACACCGCAGCCCGGCGGCTCACCACTCTCGGACGTCCCCAAACTTCCCGCACCCTACGCCCAGGCTTCGGGCACCCCGGCACACAGCCAGCACGGGTACGAACGCAGCATCAAAACCTGGGACCAGGCACTGAACCGCCACACTCGAAGCCTCCCCCAGCGGCCGCCCCCAACTTCCCCGCAGAGCGCCGGCAGCGACCTTTCCTCCTCCTTTCCTACCTCCCTCCGTGCGGCGCCGCAGCCCCACGCCTGCCCCTTCGGGGGACCCGCGGCCGCTTCCCCGCTCGAGAAACTTTTCCACGCCGCCCGCCCACCCCGCGCCGCGCTCCAACCGCCCGCGTGGCCGTGGACCCCCGCCCCGCTCCTACCGTGCGGGGGACAAGTGAGGGAGGGAGCGCGGAGGCGGCAGTTACCGGCGAGCGAGCGCCCTTCTTGCAGAGCGGTCCCCTGAAGACGCCTTTGATGCCGCGGTAGTGCCCGTTGCTGAGGTGCCGGGAGCTGATGACCAGGTAGCACGCCATGCGGGGCCCCGGGCGGGCCGCCCGCTCCTCGGCGGCGGCGGCAGCGCTACTCCCGGCGGAGCGGGAGCCCGCATGAAGGAGCGGGCGGAACCGCGGCAGCGATCTACCCGCCGCCGGCTCATCCAGCGGCCGGCCGAGCGCTGCCAGCAGCAGGGCGATGCGCGGAGGGCGGCAGCAGCCACAGCACATCCGAGGGAGCGCGGAGGCCAGTCCGCATGCTGCTCCGCTGGCGGCAGGCAGCCCCGCGGAGAAGGGCAGCGCGCAACTTGCACAGTCCGCCGCTGCTACGGCCCCTTCCCTCCCTCTTCCTCCTCCTCAGAGCAGGCCACTGGCAGGCGCGATCCGGAGGGGAGTTTCTCGGCGGCAGCTGCCCATGGCTCTTCCCTCCGGCCGCCCGCTGCCTGCAACCCCGCGTCTTGCCGTGCCGTGCCGCAGCCGGCGCCGCGCCTCACTCACCTCCGCCGGCGGCGGGCGGGGGCGGCGCGGGGCGGGGGCGGAGGAGGGGTCGAGCCGGCCGGGGGCTGGTGGGCCCGGGGAGCTGCGCCCGAGCCCTGCGATCCGACGGGTAAGGGGACCCTCTTCCTCCCCCTTCTCCCTCTCCTCGCCCAACTTTCCTAATGCCGGGAGCACCACGTCCTCTTCCCTGCCGCCCTTCCCATCCCCTCGGCCGCCTCTCTCCCGGCCCCCACGTGAGCCCCGCCGCCCCGCAGCATGGAGCCGGTAGCCGGCCGGGCAGCCCGCGGCTGGTCAATATGCTGCACTCCAACTTCTGGCTTTACCTATCCCCACAGCACTCGGGTATACGATGCGGCTTGTGACCTAAGTGATGTGCGGGGAACTGCGAGTAGGACATGCCTCGAGCGCTCAGCGCTGAAACAGGTTGTTCCTCCTTCTGCAAGAGGCGCAGCGCTGTGCGCTCAGGGCTGGCAGTGCAAGCTCAGCTCCTTTTCAGCAGGTCACAGGTATTGTCTCTGCTCTGTTACTTACTGAGTCGATAAAAGTAAGTCGATAAATCACCCGGCGGTCAGTCACCTGCAGATCTTTTATTTCTTCCAAGTAGATTACTCGAAGCTGCAGATAACAACCATTTCAGATCCTTCGTTTCAACCTGGGAAAGCCTGTGTTTTCAGCTATTTAGTGAACGCAACTAATTTTAATCTCAAAAGAGCAGTCTTCCTATAAACATAACATAAATTTAAATTAAAAAGGAAATGTCTCACAAGCTTCTGAACTGTATAGATAAAAAGGTCATGACAAATCAAATGTCACCTTTTGGCTGTATATGTAACATAGTACTGTACAGCCTTAGTATAGAATGCTTTACATACTATATGAAATTTCATGATGTGTGTGTGTATGTACACATATGTCAATAATCAAATCCATTATTGCATACTTAATGAATAACTGTATGATGTTACAGAGAAAAGAAAATGCATATGAAGTTAGAATAACCCAAGGTGGGAGTAGCATATTGAGAACATTCTTTATTAACTATATATGACAGATTTCCAACATTAGAAAAAGAAAAAGGAGGAGAGGAGAGGAGAGGAGAGGAGAGGAGAGGAGAGGAGAGGAGACCCACAACTGTATGAAGGGTTTAAATTGAGAAAATAGGTGCAAAATAAACAGGAGGTAATGTGTAGCTGTGCTGTGGACTCATTGCTAAAGGCAATGGTAGAGGAAGACAGAATAGTCACATAGTTCAGCATAGTCAGGCTCTGTGGCCCAGAAACAGTGCCCTACCTATAGCAGATATGTGCAGGGCTTTTCTCAAGTAAGTCATGATGAAAACTGACTTCTTAGAAATTACACCACCGTACCGAAAAAAGTTCACAGCTGTTAATTTGGGGGCAGAGATGAGCTGTTATGATTATTTCCTCCCACAAGTCCTGCAAGGGAATGGCTTGAAATTTAGCTTTGTTGGCATATAATTTACAGACTTTGTTAACTACAAATTTCTTTCTGAAATTCCTCCTCCATGATCCTGTTAAAGGTTATAGTATTAACTTCAGATTTCTTTGGGCCTGCAGCTTGATTTTCTGACTCCATAGTGAACATGCAGTTCTGGAAATAAAACACCAGCATCTTTACTCTCTGACAGCACCACAAACTTTCCAAAACTTTGCTTTCATATGCTGCAGAACAGAAAGAGAGAGTTTACATCCCACCCAGACAACGTTCAGAGAGGCGTCATTTCCTCTTCTGTTGTGAAGAGACACGGAAATTCCTCTATTCCTTAGAGCTTCTTTTGTCCTACATCTTCTACAGAGCATCCACATCACAGTGTGGCTGGCCAGCATGCATCATCTGCAGAGAAGCTGCAACAAAAGCCAAAACTCTGCAAGAGCTTCATTGTAGTCTAAGGACAGTACTTTACTCCTTAAACTCATACAGTCTTACATAGTTCATTTACTAAGACTGTATGAAAGGGAAATGATTTGCCCCAGAATAAACTGCACAGTACCCATTTTATCCTGCTGAGAAGGATGATGTGCTCAATTGACTCTGCTGTGAAAAGTAGAAGTTATTTTAGGCTCGTGTCATTTTGCCAACTCAGGGGAATAGCTACTATGACCACCAATCTAATTTATAAACAATCCGTAGAACACAAGCCTCAGAAAATGAGATTAAGAGTTGTCAAATGGAACAGTGAAATAATTATAACACTCCCTGAGTATCTCCCCAAGTCTCTGGAGAGGCCACACCTTCTTCTCTCTCACCATAGGTCATGTGGAAATATGAATGAACTGTTTGTAGTTTCAGCTGGATTCAATCCTCCACTGCCTCAGATCTCATAAGGCAATTTTCATCTGAGCACAGTGGATGTAAAATACTACCATTTAGAAAATGACCATATCTTTGCAGAAGTGTTACTGACTTTTCAAGATGCCAGTAAGTAGAGAAGCAGGTCAGCTATCACTTACAAATGATGATTAGACTAATTAAATGTTCTCCAGTTCATCTATCCCCTCAGTTTAAACACGTTTTTGCCATTAATGAAGATTACTTAGCATTTATTGCCCCAAAAAAGTCTGTAAGCTTTTTCTTATTATTCTCTGTAGGGATTGTCCTCATTGCACAATGTGGTGTCAAACTGAAATACCCAGTCTAGCTCTAGAGCCACTGCTTCTGACATACAAATATAATCTGAAAATCATGCAGCAGAGAATGATATTAATATAATCACATTACTTTTAGTGGTTGAGCTAATTCATGTGTTTCTTTTTGGCTTTAGACAGCACATTGTAGATACAGACTTAAAACTCTGTCTACACTGTGAATTTCATTTAAATTTTATTTCAAGGATTGCTCCTGATACAAGTACCATTTGTGCACAAATTCCATCATTCTGATATTATCTCCTGTACGGGTAAAGCCTCCAGTTATCATGATTTGCTGGATGCCAACATGATTGCTCCTCAGGCCTGAGAGCCCCAGATTGAGTTTTTTCTCAATCCCTAATTGTGCTTAGAAAGAACAAAGACATCCTTCCTCATGCCTCCAAACATGAGAAAACTCAAAGAGCACAAAGAATATCTCTTGGCACCACACCTCTGCAAATTGTACTATAGCAATCAAACAGGAACAGAGGGTGTGTAGACGCACAGCTTGAATCCTGCTTCACAGTCTGGTTGTTCTTGCAGAGGTAGTTTAACAGAACTCAAATGAACCTAAAGGAAGAACACCCCCTGATATTGATGTGTTTTTTTCAAGAGGACTTCCTGAGTAAGTGAGAACTTCTTGGCAAGACAGTCTGGGTATAAGAATACACAATGAGGTTCCTGACATTTAGCAGCAATGTCTTAGCATAGCTTTACAGCATATATTCTCTTCAGATGTAATGGAGATTTTAAAGCTATAAATCAACTCCTGGCAATATAAAAAGATCTTTGGATTATAATTGCTTAAACTACATAATTGTCTGTCTCCAGTTTGTCTATCCCATGCTGCAATGTGAACACAACATGCCAGAAATAGAGCTACAGTGGTCAGTCTTCAGATAGATCCAGAGGCGCTCAACACCGGACTGGATGGGGCCTGGACAGCCTGATTGAGTGGGTGGCAGCCTTGTCCATACCAGGGGTTGGGACTGGGTGAACTTTAAGGTCTCTTCCAACCCAAACTATGACTATGATTCTATGCATAGTATGATTCTATGATTCTATTATCTCCATTCTCGTGGTACAAAACTATATCTGGTTCCTTCAGGTGAGAAATAAACTCCTGCCTTGCTGACTGATGACAGTTCTTGAAGTCAAAAATCAGTTTCTCTAGAAACATTTAGTTAAATGTGTCTGAATACAGCCATAAACTCTTACAAAAACCTAGAGAACAGTGTTACATTAAATGTCTTATTATTCCACCTAAAGACATAATCTAATATAGTATGTCTTAATTCTTTGTAAATTAGAATGATGCTCATCGCTGTTGAAAATTTGATTTTTTTTCTCACTGCAGAGAGCATTTTCGGAACATTTTGTTTGGGGAACATTTTGTAAAGTTCGATACTTATTTGGAGTTCCAGGCAAATACAAAAACAAAAGGTGAGCTGTCTTGTGTAAAACTTGTCTGTTTTGCTTTCAGTGAAATGGCATCTTCAAATGTCTGCTTTTGTTGCTTTTTATTCCTGCATCATTAGTGGTACCAATTGCACTTTTCCTGAAGTAAGGTTTGCTAAATTCTTCATTATATCCGTCTTTATTTCTTGAATTAATTTAGATTCTTTTAGTCCTTTCTTATTTTATTTGACTTGAAGTACTTATCCCGACTTTTTTAATCCCAATCTGCCTCTTTTTATCTAAATAGTAGTTACATTCCTCTTATGAATCACTTATGTAAGCAGCTTTCTATTACACGAAACTTGAATCTGTCGAGTTTTATACACTTGAAGCGCTGATGGCTAAGTTACTCTACTCTCTAGTTCATATAGAATCAATGGCATCATTTTATTTTGGATGGAGCTTTTTGGAATGTCTCAGTGCTGAATAATCACTTTA